TAGACTTAAAATGTGAAAGATAAAAACACGCCAGGGTAGAAAAATAATCCTTTACGTTCTTTATAGTACAAAATATAGTTTCAAAAGTATTAAAACCTTTCCTTTGATCATGAATTTCTTTTTTTTTCCACGTTGCCTTTGGAAAGGAACAATCCTATGAAAATTTTTAAATTTAATTTTCGTTTATTTTTATCAGTTTGTTTTTAAACAAATACTTTGCTGTTTAAACAAATAGTATTTACCTCTTCACGTATTCTTCCACTGAATACGGTGACAGGTTCCCTAGAAGGTCCGAAAGCTAAATCAGCTTCGGAAACAACCTCGTATATTCCAGAAACACCCACATCCGCGGACCTCGAGTCACGAACAGTTCGTCGCTTTCGCAGAGATCTGGGCCCCGCAACAGCCGGCCCGCGACCTTTAGGTGAGGTCATAGTTTCTCCGTTCTGTCCCGTTTTATCGCTGTTCGCAAGGTTTCGTGGCCCATGTGGGAAATGTTCGTATTCAGGTGCCCGGTCCTAAAAAGCAAGACGAGAAAAATTAGAACATTATTAACAAATTAGGGCGATATAAGCGCTAGTTTATCAATATCCTTTTCAATATTTCAATGAATGCCTACGTCCTGATCAAACAAAAATAACAATGTCGGCAATTGTTGCAATTACCACAAAGCAAACGGAATAAATCATTAAAAATATACTTTAAAAATGAAACTAAAATTTTGCTTACTGTAAATGGTCTCCTGTTCAAAGACTCAAATGCTTCTTCTAAAGTCGATATCTGATCGGAGTCGGGTTCCTCGACGGGGGCGGGGGCTCTTTGTGGCAGCGGCGCCGGCGCGGGCACCACGTCACCTGACACCTCGTCGCCAAAGGCTTCTTCAAGAGGGAGACGCTGGTACTCTTCTGCTAGACTCGTGTCCGAACCCTCAGCCGAAGAGTCACTGAAAAAATAAGTAATATGCCATAGGTAAAACAAAATTTGATAGGTACTTGAGACACAAATGTTGCAAACAAAAGTAATAAAATATTATGAAAAATCAAGTGTAGTCATGAATATGCAGAAATATTTTGATCTTTTAATATTCGCGTATACAATATTCCATACATAAATAACAAGTATGTGCACCGGACCACTGTCAAGAAGTCTAGTAAGGCATGATGGCACTAAAAAGACTTTACCTGATCTCATTATGGTCCTGTTGAGCACGATCGTCCTTTCTGTCAAGCGCGTGTCTTTGCGGCGTGACGCCCGCGAGCTGGCAGTGGTCGAGGCAGCCGTGTCTGCAGATCTCCACTTTGCAGCGAATATGCACGCTCAACGCATCAGGGAATTTGAACGCGTGGAAGAATGCGTAAGTTATAACTGTCGCTCGTTCGTCTGCCGCTTTGGCTTTGAGAAACCTGAAAATTATTTATTTCGAATAAGAATCTTTTTTCTTAAACATTAGGGAACCTATAACGAAAGACTAATATTAGAAATATTATCTTTTAGAAACAGACCATTACATTACAAGAAAGGAGTTAAAAATATATTAATATTATCAATTACCTGGAAATCATCTTTGGACGTAGAACGCATCCGTATTCATCAGACAATTGAATAACGTGTCCCGAACCATCGGACGCGGCGCACGACTTCACTCGCATATCGAACTCGCCTGAAATACAAATTTACACATGAATTAAGACGTCAACTAATTTATACTGCAAGCTGCAGTAAATTTCTATACGAGTATTTCATAGCTAAGGCAATTGCGCTTTTAATTGATGCGACATTCGTCTTTTGCGTCGATATGTCTGTTATTTCTTGAACACTTTTTTGTTTCATTTTTTTAAATTTATTTAGTATTCTATGATTTTCTTTAATTATTATTGCAAAGTAGGACAATATAGTCACTATTTATTCTAATATCATAAAGAGGAAAGATTGGTATTTTTGGATTTTTGTACCATTTTTAGATTGTTGATATGAATTGAAATAACTCAAAAACTACTTGGTCAATTTTAAAAATTCTATCACCATTAAAAAGCTACATCGACAGTAAGTAACATAGGCTGTGTTTTCTACTATTTTTTAATTCCACATAGACAAAGTCGCTAGCAACAGCTAGTATGAGAATCAAATCTAAGTGAATAAATTTAATTTATAATTGTGTTTTGAATTTTATAGGATCCTAGTAACTATGTTAAAAGACAACAATCGTTAAAACTATTGTAAATAATGTTATCAGCTGGTTAAACATAAGAATATAAATTAAACAATGCAAGGAACTCGCGAAAGCTTAACGCCTCACCAAACTTGCTTGCAGGCGGAAACAAATGAGTAAATATTCCATTAAACTATGCAAACAAAAGCTGTTTCAACACAAATATGAGCTTTCTTAACCACTCATTAAGTTAACACTGTGATATTGTAAATGATGGTTAACAAAACGCTAGTTGGTGGTTTTAGCAAGTATTTAAGGGACGGTGACTTTATTTTGTCTAAGTTGGACTTCTAAATAGGTACCTGCAAAGTTCAGGAGTCGTTAATCACTAGGAAAATCTCTTTGTCTCCACAAAGCGATTATTAAAAAAAGAATTTTGTCTATGGGCATTTACTATAAGTGTCACTAGCTATTAATAGACTCTTATAGACTTGTATACTTTAAGCTTCTGTCGTTTAGTACCTAATAAGTTCGATAACATCGGTGAAGTAAACCACCGTTTAGAGTCACAATTCTACTTTTGAACCTACCACAACATAACATTGTAAGTAGGCACATAAAATATTTTCAGGTTACATGTAAGGAAGATCCGCATACTTCACTACTTGATTTACTTACTATCTTTACCATATATTTACTAAATTATGTTATTATGAAATAGTTTTTAAATACTGCATTTTTATGTATTTTATTAAAAGATTATTTTTACATTATTACATGCTTTAGAAATGGCTAAAATTAAAAATCAATTACTTAAATAAAGAAAATCATAGCTCAATCTTTGATACTACGCTACAAACATCTCAATTCAAAAACTCGATACAATAGACTTCAACGCGTTCCAATTGATCGACTCCCACGCTAATACACGAGTAGAGAAGTTAATTAATCGTGTTTTGTACTAAAATCATTGATCACCGTTGTTAATACTTGTAAATATTGACCTTGAAGTAGCTGGATATACAACTAAGATGTCCTTATAGCTAGTACACACTAGGCGTGTTAGTAACGTGTATTTATAGAAACTCTCCGGTTCTGCACATGCTATCTTTGGTTTCTATAATATCTTCTTTGATTTTAACCATCATGAACATCTTTTTGAAACGCGCACTTTTGTAAATGAATTTATTAGTAAAAATTGCGTTTTTACGGTCTTCTTAACGGCTTATATCTATGTTTTTAATATAGATATATCCTCGGTATTTCATTTTTTTACTTGAATTTTGTTTGTATTTTGCGTAGTTAAGTTATATGAACCATTTATTTTAAAGTGTACTGTGCAGTGCCAATACAAACATTACATGTTTAAAGACACCAAGTATTCAAACAAAAATGTATAAAAATGTACCTTGTTGAAATAAAATAAAAAAAAACATTGTAGGTTATATAAAATAAGTAACTATAAAAATGTGAACTAATCAAAGATTTTGTAGTGTGTAGTGTGTAACGTGTTATAACGCGCGTTATTAATACGCGCGTTTAAAACGCCCAGCGTGAACCAGCTGTAACTATCGTCGGCTCGCGGTCCGTTAAGCTAACTCATTCGAACGTATTTGTCCAGTCTACTTTTTACTATTCTACGTACCGTTAACGTGTCTGTTTACACACTATTATTACCCTGTTAAAGTCGATTTCGCGAGATTCGGTTCTCGTGTGACGACACAAAAGTTGAATTCTGGTTTAACTACATGTGTTGAAAATTGATCTAACCTAAAAATTGTTAACAAGATAATATTTAATTTAATGCAAGTAAATAATTACTCTTTAATTAAATGTTGGAATATATGTTTAGTACAGATTTTTCATACTATGTAATAGGAAAAAAGATGTACATAACTGGTTTATTCTCCTTAATTTCTCACATATTACTGCTATGTGAAGTTTTTATGTCATTAAACTGATCTACTAAATTAAATAAACATTAAAACAACAAGTAAATTTATTTTTAAAATATGATTAAATACGTTTTACTATAAAATAACATTTTTTTTAATTAATCATTTTCATTCATCATTCAATAACAACATAAAAAGTTTTAATACATCTCGTGGTTATTGAGAAAGTCCGAACGAAGTAAAATATAAACACCCACGGCGTATCTATTTGATTGTAGTCAATCAAGTCTAACGGTCATCGATACAATATTACACCAACACTATTCGAATAACGTGAATTCTGAATAGGCCTAACCATAGATTTATAAAAAAACATCATCAACATTACAAGATTATCATAGAACTTATACTACTATAAACCGCTACAAAATTAATAATAAACCAGTAAATAATGTTAAATTTAATATACGTTATGATTTACTATAATAATTTTCTAACACTACGTAATACTTCAATTTAATTTAAATATTCAAAACGATGTTACAGCCAATAGAGAGTTGGGAACGAATCTATAAATTGTTACAACGAATATTAGCTATCTGTCATAATATTGAAATAGTTGCTATTACAATATAGTTTACGAATGGTTAATAATACACCAGGATCAGTGAGATATCTTATACGTAATATTGTTTGAAACATATACATTCAGTAATTTGTTATAATAAAAGACCGAAGAAAGTATGGATGTGTGAAAGAATTTCTTTAGTAGAGAGTGAATTCAGATATGACGGCTGATAGAGATGTATAGTAGAGTAGCACTCACTGTGCCGACCCTCCGTAAGGACAAAGGCTAGTTGATAAGAGCTTTGGATCATTGTAACATCGGTAAAAGTGTGGTTTTATAGCCATAGTACATACTTCAGTATTAACAAGTACATGTTAATCATCAGCTCAAGTTTTACAGCTAATTAAAACTGCCCAACTCTCGTTAAAATCTTAATAATCCAACAAGACAGTAAAACGCATTTAACAAGCCAAGATTTTTAACTTCGATTTAAATTTGAAATTTAATTTGTGCAATCTAAAACGGTAACTACAACGAGTATAAGCAATAAAGTAAATTACTAATAAAGTCTTAATTTTATATGTATCGTTAGTTCGTTAGTACGAGATTATTATAATAAATTAATGTTAAATAGTGGAAAGCCTTTGCCTATTAGACAAATTAAATTCAGATGCATGGTGAGCGCAAATCGCAACAAAAGAAATTTTCAAAACATTTTTACGTCATTTTATGTTGACTGTATTTCTACATAACGTTGATATACACTTTCCCGCGATATTTTTTTTTTCATCTTTTTATTTAATTGTGCAACTTTCTTAGTGGCCAGTGTTCTATAGTTGTGTTTTTTTAGTAATAAGCAGGGAAAATCCTTACCTCTGTAATCATTGATGGCTACCACTAGAGTTAAGGTAGAACCGAGTGGAACGATGCCAGACACAGGCGGCGCCCATGGACCTTTTCCCGCTTGTATCTCCATCCAACAGTCTACATTGTCACCTAAAAACAAAAACAACATGAAAATTTGTAGAAAATCGTTTAAATACGTTTTAATCTAATTGCAAACATGGGATGTAGTATTAATAAAACTGCGACACCACAATAGAAAATATAGTTACGAAAATATTCTAGTGTCGTTCCAAGCATTGATTGGATTGCATCAGATAAACTTAATTGTATGAAATATAAGTAAAATAGATTTAATTTATAGCATACATAAAAAGCTATAATAAAAGATTATAGCGAATTCACAACATATGGCGAGTCAGAAGAGAATAATACGAGTGAAAAATCTCACCTCTGAAATCCAGCTGTACAACATCGAGGTCAGCAATAACCATTGGCGGCTTGGAGGCCGTCTTTTCGTAGTCGTTGAACCATTCACAGCGTAGTCGTTTGGCTTCGTCCCACACCTCCAGCAGGTCCTTATCGTACTGTACTACCACTGTGTTCTCGTAGAACTGACCGTGCAGATCTGGAAATAAGTAATATTGTATTAAAGCTCTGCTACTTTGGGCTTACGTTAACAATAACGCTAAATAAACATACATAGGTACACAATACATCATTTTCTTTTTGTAAAAGCGTTAAAATAAGTTGAACAATTAAAGAAAAAATTTAATAAAATAAATTTTTTCATCGTAATTTCCAAATTTAAAACGAAAAGGATAAACTTTTTTTTTTAATAAAGCTCCTAAATGCTTTAGACTTTTTAAACACGTTTCTTGTAAATTTTCCTTCTAAATAAATAAGAATTATTTTTAATCCTTATTATTACTAGGACTAAACGCGGATGAACTCGCGCAAAAAGTGGAAGTCGTCCGAAGAACGCGGATCGAAGACAAGTCTGCCGGTCAGCGAAGCGCACGCGATAATGACCCTTAAGAACTTTCAATTGACTCCCTTCGGATACTGCGAACCATTAGGACGACATGACAAAACGATACAAGCGCCTGATAACTACGAAACTCGATAATACAGGAAACATTTAAATTTGTCCTATTAAAATTAAGTGTGAAACTAACATAGAGTTGCAAATGTCGTGACACTTTAGGAAGGAAATGCTTCAGAGTACGGGATTCAGGGTTGGCGTCTCAACGGCGGGCTATCATGGAAAAATGCGCCTTACACGCTTATGTTATGCGGTCCGGCCGGGTGGCGATTCTCAGAAACAATGCTTGCTGCACGTTCGCAGAACGAGCGGGCTCCGTCCGTTACGTACACTAGCCATAGAGGACATAACTAGGAATCGCAAACGAGAAAAACTCACTTTACTTTGTTGAAATGGGACCGACCGGCAGCGGAGTTGACCGAAAGCGATTTATACGATTTATTGTTAGATGTCGTTGCAATTAAATGACAAATTATTTATTTACAAACATTATCTTTTAAGGATTATTTATCGATTTAATAAAAAGAGAAGAACACTAAATAATTTACTGACATTTACTACATCTATTGCTTTGATATAGTTAAAATGGTTTACCGTTTGGTTATATTGAATCTTACTGATGTTATAATGCGAGAGTTTAGATAAATGGATGGTTTTTTAACAACAAAAATTATAAAGTGTGCAGCCTAAACAACTGAAAGGATCTTGATGAAATTTGACATAGATGTAGAGGATAGTCTGTGAGAAAACATAGGCTACTTCTTTTTTTTAATCCTCCTCTAACAGAGTCGCGGGCAAAAACTTAGTTATTAAATTTATTTGGAAATGTAAACGGTTGTTAACTTTTCATATATTACGTGATAATATTTAATTATGATCACTTAATTTTATTGATAAATGTTTCGGCTACAACACGTCATGTATATTTTGGTGACAACATTTATTTAAAAGTTGTAACTTTGTAACTTCAAATACAGCTGAATAAAAGTGAATGCAGAGGTCGTGGGAGACAGAGTTTAATGGATGAGGTTATCTCCACCAATAGATTAATCAGTCACGAAGTAACAAGCAAACGTTAACACAATACTAAAAGGTTTTAGCGATCCTCTGTCTCTATGAATAAGTGTTTCCATATATTTATACGTTTGACCTTTGTAACAGAGACGACTTGAAGCAAAGAAATAGTTAGATACACTAGCTTTTCCCGCAATTTAAATCTTAGTATTTAACTTATCCGCTCTTCCAGACTTTCTACATCTGTGTCTGTTTCATCAAGATCCTTAAATCCCGTGTTAAAAGTAACTATCTCACCTTCAATATGTTAACCTTAACGACTGCAATTACGTGGAGATTTTTATTACTGCGATGAATAAAAGTTGAGACACAAGTAAACAAGTAAATGTTCAACATAAATTTGACGGAATTGACTCAACCGTGTAAGTGTTGAATGAACATTGAAATAAACAAATGAACTACGCGCGTTTACAATAAAACGATTCGGTGATAATTTTATTTCAAGTAAGTTGTATATTTATTATTAACAACTAGCTGAGCGTGACTTTGCGCAGGATTAAAATAAGGACTTAGTAAGTGTTCATTCAGACTATGTTTTCTATCAATGCCAGTTAAATAGTTTTGAAGATAGTGATAACATCCATCCATTCAAACTCGTGCAATTATAATGTTAGTATGAAATATGATTTAAATATCTCGAGTGTGTTCTTAATTAAGTCTTTACTATTAAAACTTTTATTAATATTAGAAGTATCACTAACGAATTCGGATCTTAGAAGAGTATTTGTCAATTTCACGGTAATTAACAAAAAAATATTAACATTTTATAGCAAAAGATAAAACAAACATTTACTATAAATACTTCAAAGGCATGCCTTACTCTTCTAGTCTTAAAATTGAATTTTTATTGTAATATTTAATAATTATTAAAAATTCAAGACTGATTGGACAATTATTTGAAACGAACTTTTGCCCGCGACTCTGAGTCTGAGTGGAATTAAAAAAAAACAAAAGTGTATATGTTACTCAAAAATATCCTCTGCATGTATACCAAATTTCATCGAAATCCGCTCAGCTCTTTAGGCTACAAACTCTAACAAACATCTATACATCCATTTAAACTTTTGCATTTATAAAATTAGTACGATTAATATTTTCAGACGGAGCAAGATATATTGCTATCATAAAACAGTGCTGAACAAAGTCTAGCACATTTATATGATTTACAACTTTAGTAAATTCATTAAAGTGAAACATTTGACGACGTTTTGATTGCCCCTTAGCGTACCGCAAATGTATTTATTCATTTCACACATCATCTTCGACCCAAATTCGCAAATTAAACCGCAGCTTCGATTCGTTATGTGCCGAAATGGACTGAACAAATCATTATTTTATATACCTTAAACAAACAATATAAAACTGATTGTGGTACTAAAAAGTTTTATATCGCTAAATTTAACTGGTCATTACAATCTTGTATTTTGAAATGTTTGATATCTTTGACTATTTATTTGTATTTCAATTTATATTCGACATAGTATAAATATAGAGCGTCGGTGGCTTAGATGTTTAAGCAATTGACTTGCAATCTACCCGCACTGGGCCAGTGAGGTTGACTATGGCCTAGTTACCCCAACTTAGGGTAGGTTTTGAGCCCTTCGTTGTGGACGTATAGTGTACTGGTAATGGTAATAGTCTAAAAAGTCTAAATATGTTAAACTAACGAACTAATATGTAAGTGTATTACAAATATATTGCGACCATTAAGTATTTTTTTTAAACTTGAGGAAAAAGAAGTATAAGGTCTTAATAAACGCACTCAATATAACAAAAACTCACCAGGTTTTGTGCCACATTTCGCGTACGCGATCCTAAACGAGAAATACGTCTGCCCCGTGGACGGCGGCACGTACACACAACGGGGATCACCGTGCTGTCCTGAAATTAATATTAAAAATTAATTACATATAACACCATATACATACATTCACATCTGTACAAGCACATAATTATACATAGTAAGAATTTAATTCTGTAATAATAAATAATTGATTTATTTTTCAATGAATAAAAATTAAATATATCTATTACGCTAATTCAGTACTTAACAACAAAGCTATTGCTCGCGACTTCGCCCGCGTAAAATTAAAAACAAACAATATAGCCTATGTTACTCACTGATAACGTAGATTTTTAATAGTGGAAGAATTTTTGAAATCGGCCCAGTAGTTTTTGAGTTATTTCATTACATACCAAAATACAAATCTTTTCTCTTTACTATATAAAAATTAGATTAAACATCTTTTTACGCATATTTAATACCCTAATTAATTATATGTGGAAAAGAGAATATAATATAGAGTGACCAAAGAAAGTAAATTGTAATTTAATTAACGGTTTTTTAGTAGAGATAAGAAACTGCTAATTAATGCCCTGTGACCAGTTTTGTATAAATTATTTATTACACTTTAGATTGCGAGCATATTTAGAAGAACATTAAAGCAAACACGCGCACACGCATGAAGTTTTTAGTATGATAAAGTCGATCTGGATTTTACAATTTATTTTTTATAGAACTTTATATTCAATACTTCTTATTTTGTTTTTAAATTAACCTAATAAAAAAACATCGTGATTTTTTTTCTTTGTTCAAAGCAATATATACAGAAATATAAATAAGTATAACATCACCGTAGTATATCCAAAAAACTAATATTTTTGTAATCAAATATTCGTTATAAAGTCTTATGGAAAAAAAAAACAAAAACTACGTCGGAATTCAACTGCCGAGGAAAGCCTTTTCGAGTAGAGATTGATGGGCTATCCCATTGTCTTGCCAGTCGGCTTTAATACTTTTATTTAAGAACAGGACTCAAAAAAATATTGAAACGTTATAATAACAATTTATAGCGACATAATTCATTCCTGAAAAGCTTAGGTGTACTTTAATCTGACATTTAAGAAATATAGACTATTCATAGTGAACAACGTTTTTGACCGACTTCCCAAAAGAAGGAGGTACTCAATTCGTCGATATATATATATTTTTATTTCACTGGCAATTTCTGTGATAGCTAATATATCAGTTGTCAAGTTTAGTGCGCCATCTAGTGTCTTTGTATTGACATTTTACAAAATTATAATAAGCTCCATCTTTTGTTATCAAAATAAACTAAATAAAATTAAGTAGTGGTTTCGAGACTGTCAATAGATAGCGTTAGTAATGATTATGTGAAAAATGTTTCAAGTGAAGTGTCAACTTTGCTTACTTTATTTTTACCTCTTAGATCTAATTATACATAGCCCAAAAACTTATAAAATGTAATGATTTCTCTCCTATTCTCTCTAAAATATAGATATTGCATATCATTAACATTTAGTAGCTATTAATTTGTGTTATTCAAAGAAGCATTTCATCGTAATTTTAACCAGTCTTTCGGGTACGCAAACACAAAAAAATTTAATTACACATCAAATAGAAAACTAAATCGGGATGTGTACGGTTTGAAACGGTTATATCTCATCTAGAACGCACACAGAATTGATAACGCGTATGTTAGTGAAACCCGGGCAATTACAACTAACAATTAGTAGCGCTCTGAATACTGGCCGCTCATGTGTTCAACGTGGAGTGTAAAGCGCTCAATCGATGTATTTTCGTCCTATGATAGATCAGTGAACAACAGAGAGAAACATAGAGTAAACTAGAAAACATAGAGTAACATTAAAACATTCGTGTGACATGAAACTATATTAAACACTAATATTATAAAGAGGAAAGATTCGTATTTTTGGATTTTTGTATGTATTGAAATAACTCAAAAAGTACTGGACGGATTTAAAAAACTCTTTCATCGTTAAAAAGCATCGTTATTAGTAACATTGGCTACGCTTTTTAATTTTAAGCGGACAAAGTCGCGAGCTATGACTAGTTAAATATAAAACGCGGATTACCTCACGTGAAAATTCAGTATAGGCGAACATATCCGCTTAATCACTCACCCTGATGAAGGACCCCGACGGGTTATAAACTGGTCGGTGCTTATACCGAATTACACGTATAAGAGCGTTTTATATTTAATAGAGTAACATGCTCATAATTAACACACCATTTTAGTCATATGTGTGGTAAAAAGTTATACTCGTATATACGAGAACTATAAAATCATTCAACTTAAGCCAGTTTTAACTGAAGTTGAACTATTCAGATAAATGATGGCTGTGTTGGAAAAACTTACTGAACACTTCAACTGAATTTTGCATGTTTAGGCACATTTTTAGTTGAAAAGTTCGACTGACCAGTTGTCGATGTGCATACATTCATATTTCCAATAATATCCGATATGTGTGAAAATATTCTTGTCAAATTCGCTTACAAATCCTTTTGCAAAATGTTTAAATAATGATATTTTTATTACTATTCTTAACTATAATCATAAACGTGTTAAATCACATAATAATATGCACTTTCGTGTAATTTCAATGTATAAAGTATACGTTGGCGTTGAAAATGATTTGAAATTACCTTTCGATGACACGATGCCCTCGAAGGGATGTGAGAATGTTAGGTGTACGTCCATATGATCCTTGCCGCACATCACCTCTAGCGACTGTATGACCGGCATGCCCTCAGGCCTCTCCATCGGCCACAGTTCACCGGCGCGTACTCTCGTCTGGAACATTTTAAAACAATATTTTATTAATACCTTTTAAGATTTAAGATGGGTGGATTGCGTGAAAGGTGACATGATCTAAAAGGGAGTGCTGGCTGATATGACGTATAATAGAGTTATTTGGAGGACAAAAATCCGTTGCGCCGACCCTAGGGGAGTAGGATAAGGAGGATGTTGATGATGAATACCTTTTAAGATTTTATAGTTAGAACTTCAAGGTCACGAGTCATACTACAGTCACACATACAGATTGTTTAAAGCAATCGTTAACATCTTCAAGTGATATAAACATCTACTTATTTATATTAACGTAAAATAAGAAGCATATCCGTGTTCAAAATCATACTAATCATACTAATATTATCTTTCTCATCATTCATCTAAATCGAAAGTTTAGATGAATGGGTGGATGTTTGTTATAGTTTGTAGTCTAAACGGCTGAATAGATTTCGAGGAAATTAGGTATAGATGTAGAGGATAGTCTGTAACAACACATAGGCTAACTTTTGTTTCTTTCTAATTCCATGCGGAAGGAGTCGCGTGCGAAAGCTAGTAAAATGTAAATTACTAAAGCCCTACCAAATTACGTTCTGACAGTTTGACTCTTTACTTAAGTCTTTCGAACTCAGAGTCTGCAGAGGGCTAATAATATGATAAATTATGCAAAGTACCAGAGTAAATATAATAAGCGGGGATCGTATCAAACCGTAGTGAAGCGTTTTCATTGAAATTGGATGATTGGCGGAACCTTGACCGTTTATGAATGGCGCGATTGCCGAGAAAGGATTTAAAAAAAGAAGCGAAGATAATAACGGCCTTTGTAAAAGTAATTGGTTCCTTTATGTTATCAAATTAGATTCCTATGTTAAATTTTGTTTATGCATTACTCTATGGGAAGTACATTCTTCGGTAAAATTAATTAAACATATAATAACGTCACATGTTTGTTACTATGTTTCTCTAAAAAATAGCACACATAGTCTATAAAAACGCAAGAACGTGTAAGTTTCTTTAATGTTACACTGACAAAGTCTACTGCAAAAGCTTGTAGTTTATGCAATAACTTTAAATATCAGAAAATTATAGTAATATAAAGTACTAGCTTTCGCCCGCGACTCCGTACGAGTGGAATTAAAAAAAATAAAAGTGAGTAGTCTATATGTTCTTTCAGATTATCCTCTACCTCTATACTAATTTCCATCGATTTCCATTCAGCCGTTTAGGCTACAAACTCTAACAAACATCCAACTATCCATCCATTTAAACATTCGCATTTATAATATTAGTAAGACAGTAATAACTGAACTATTTTTTCAAACCTTTTTCACGAAAGAAATTTGACGTTAATATTTTAAAACAATTTAGTTCATATATTATATTGAAACAGATTTACTAACGGGGTCGTCTCTAAATGGAGACGTTTTGTCTAAGTTATTAGAAACACGCATTAACATTGTTGTACAAAACATTATGATGGATAGCAAGCGATCGTTCCAGGAACATCGAACGCGTTTCGTTCCCACGCCCAGGCAAAGAATTCACAAAACAACAAGCGCTTATATGGTGCACACGCAGACACCTTTAAGCGAAAGTTATCGATTTTATTCATCTAAAGAAAAAAAGATGTTTTACAAAATGGAATTAATAAATTGCAGTGGCAGTGATATCTGATTAAGCCAAGCGCAAGATGGCGACACTTATCAATATTAACTATGACATTAAGGGCCTCTCAACTGGTTGATAGAGGCTCGGATAGCTTAAAAATGACGTCACTGTGAGATTATGTAATAAAATTCGATGTTTCCATAACATATTTTACACAGGGATACCTCACATAATGCAATCGGCATTGAAGTCATGATGATATGAAACTAATACGCACAGATTAGTCAACATTTTCTTTAGATATTGGAATTTGAATATTTTACAATTTTTTTTTTAAATTTCACATACAATTTATATGACTATTGCATTTGTAATCGCGTGCTCCCAGCGAGCTGCTACTTTACATCGAGAAATCGTTATTAAAATTCGATTTCTAATCGATTCCATATTTTCATGTGGTGTTAATTATTTAGAACACAATCAAATATTCATAATTTGAATTAAGAGAATATCGAATATGACTTATCGATTTTTTAATGTGACTCGAAACAATAACACATTTAAATGTTTCCGGTAAAGTTGTAAATGTTCACCTAGTGACCGAAATTGAATAGTGATTTAAAATACAAAGAAAATGAAATAAGGAATGAAAATTGAAATCTATTATTGTACTCTTATTTTATTAATTCGACTTCTTCAATACATATGTTACGTTTGAAATAAAACAAAGACTAAATTCATAATCTAGTTATTACAATAATATTGAACCTTATTGTCAGAAAATTAAAAAAAAAAACCTATAATTGTCACAGACTTGTTGAATACAGTTTTCTGTCTTAATAATCACTATTACAGAAAAGTATTTTACAGATGCAGTACACTCTAATCTAGAACTCTATATCATACTAACAATACAAAAAAATTGTCGATGTCATATAACCCGTGCAAATTACAAATTACAGTGTACACAAGAAAGTAAGCAGATCTAATATGTGTATTTAGTTTAGCAGCTCTAACGAATCCAGGCGCGTGCCGCACGCTATTACATTAATGACGCACTTGTATAGAAAATATACAGTAATCAGCACAGCTGTGTTTCTATCATGGCCTCTTATTACTGACACGGTGGCAGGACGTCTTACATTGAGTACAATTTCTAAATAGTTTCACTCGTCACCGAAATTATATGTTCGGGATGGTGGAGTTATATCTTTTTTTTTTTAAATTGAGATGCGATATTGAACTGTAATTAAAGGTAGAGAAAAGCTCTTTTTGCTTACAGGTATTATAAAGGTTAACAAGGTAAACATTAAAATTAAAATTGGTCTTATTTGAAGTATTTTTTAAGTCTGTTTTACTTTTTTCAAAGCTCTAGAGGTGAGGTCTTTTGTCGAGGCATATGAAATATGTGTGTATGCTCGTTAACATAAAAAAAATTATTGCAATGTTTTGACACTAAAATTGATTACGCTACGTCATTTAATACCTATAAAAGTTAAAGAAACATTATAATAATTAAACCTTCTTTATTTAATTGACCATGAACCTCAATAAGAAATTGCATATTTCAATTTTGATCGGTCGTTGTTTATTATTAGGAGTTTATTGAACAAGTGAAATGTTAACGGATGTATTAAAAGTTGTTTATAATAGAAATATGGGTTATTTTTGTATGCAAACAATGACAATTACAGTAAACAGGTTGGTAAAGATAAAACATAGAAGGGACAATTCATAGCAACCGTAAGAAATGTTTTAACCACAGTGTTATATTAAAAAAAATATATTTATAACTCTCTGCACGTGTGTTATTCAAATGAAGTGATAAAGAAAGTTAACAGGAGGCGGAATAAGCAATAAAAATATTTGCAAGAACTCTTGATGAATTGCAGAAAAGCAAAAAGAAAGCGCGTTGTTTGAGTCACGGCTGCGCGTCGTATGCGGAGAAATTCGCTAAGAATGTGAATTTCTTCAGATACTATTAGTCAGATAGAGATGACCCCTTTATATTTAAGACTATCAGCAGATTACTGAAACGAATTAATTCTAACATTCTAAAAAGGAAAGATTTGGCCTTTTAGATTTTTGTATGTAAATAAATTACTCGAAATTTTCAGGGCCGATTTCAAAATTTATTTCACTATTGAAAAGCCACGATATCATTGAGTAACATAGGGTATGTTTTTTTATTATTTTTTAATTTCACGCGGACAAAGTCATGAGCTACAGTCTTAAACATTTCGCTTCGTAGGCGGCCGCTTATACTCGTAATATATCAGACGATAAAATTTAAATGTATTTTATAGTTTAAGCTTCGTCATTTAAGGTGTTATATTTAAATGTCGTTTTAATATTCGGCCGTATAGAAAAATAGAAATCGTTTTAATATTGATTTCTTAAAAAAATCAAATTGTCATCCATACGACGATGTATGTATTATAGTATTCAAAATAAAACACAAAAAAAACTTCAGTTTTACTTTTAAATTAACTCCTATAAGCTCGTTACAACTATCGTTTCCAACAAATTAGATATATGTGGGTAAAATCAAACACAAATGCATAATACAAGAAAATCGCCTTTAGAATTTCAATGAAGAGTTAAAAAATTTCACATAGGAAATCGAAAAGTAGTAATATCCACAAACAATTCAGAAAAAGCAAAAGCATTTATTTAAAAAAAATCTTTTACAAAGTATAATTACAGCAAGAACTATATACATATACATTAAAACTATAAATAATTTCGCAAAGCAATAAGTGAAGGTGAAAGCGAGGAAGAATAACTTACAGATAAGATGCAATAATAATAACAAAATACAAATGAATTCGGAAACAATAAATTATAAAACATCCCGGCAACTTATCAAAACATTTACTTTCAACTAAATACTAACAATTTCAGAACACAGATAAAGCTAAAATTTAAAAAGGGATTAAAAAATAACTAGTAGGCTATATGTTCTTCCAGACTATGTCCTACATCTATAACAAATAACAACGAGATCCAGTAAACTGTTCTGGAGATAAATAGTATCTAACATCCATCCATCCATATGTCTATATCTAAACATTCGCATTTATAATACTCGTATTAGAATGATACTTCACGTGACTTTAACAAGTTCGTATTTCGACAATACCACATAGCAACAAGCCGAAATCAAAACTCGCGCATACTTTCATCGTAATGTAGACGGATGAGTCATAAAACGCGTTTCATATCAAGTCGGGAGCGACACCTGTGCGCATGTTGCATGATACCTACCAGACGAGAGCCGTCAATACTTACGCGATGATAACCGTTACGATTACAAAACTATGTCTAATTAAATATACACTTACGTATCTTGATATCCGCCGGAATTGATTACGATTTGAAACGCTATATTACAA